GCACCACCATGCGCCGGCTAATTTTATTTTATTTATTTATTATTTTTTTGAGACAGAGTCTCGCTTTCTTGCTAGGTTAGAGTGGAGTGCCATGGCGTCAGCCTAGCTCACAGCAACCTCAAACTCCTGGCTTAAGCTCAATCCTACTGCCTCAGCCTCCCAAAGTTGCTGGGACTACCCAACAAAAAACTAATCCAGCAAAAAAGTTGCACGAGCCACCATGCACCGGCTAAATGTTTTATATATATATATATAGTTAGCCTTCAGGGGCAGATCAGCGTCCTAGAGGGCAACCCTCCTCCCAAAAGGAGGCCGTGCGCCCAGTCCAGGTGGCATTCCTGTGCAGGGAACCTCCTGGCCGGCATCACAATCCGGGGAGGCCTGGTGGCGTGTGGTCTGGCCTGCTGGCAGAGGCCCAGGAGTAGCTGTGGAGTTGGGGAGGGTGGAAAGAAGTGAGGCCCGCTCCAGACTGCAGGACTCAGACGGCCCCACCCCCACACGCAGACTTTCTGGCTGAGCGGGGCCATTCCAGCCCCTCCCTGACAGCTTTTCCTGGAAGCAGAGAACAGAACTTTGACCCCTGCTAATGGCATTGGTGGTGCCTGAGGGCAGGCTTACCCAACCCAGCTCCGCTCAGACTCACTCCCAGACCAGCCCTCACTGGGGGGGAGAAAAGGACACACCTGGAAGTCCCAGGGCCCCACCCACCACCTGAGGCACTAGAGTGCCTCTCTACAGGAACAAGAGCTGATAACAGGACACAAAAACAACAGTGTAGCCTGTTCCTCCAAGCAAGCGCCATCTACTGATAGGGAGGGCATCCTGCACACCTTTTCACGGCACCTACTGACTCATTATACAGGGAGTGGTCAAATCTCACCCACAGACACCACCTACCGGCTCAGAAACTAAACAAGGCATGTGAATACCCAAACAAAAACCTAAAGAAAAGAAATAACAACTGATCGACATGGGAAGAAATCAGCGAAGGAACTCAGGAAATATGAAGAACCAAACAGAAAACACACCCCCAAAGAGGAGGACCAGCCTCCTAGAAACAGACACCAACCAAATCAGGCAAACAAAATGACAGAAGATGAATTTCGTATGTGGATCATAAGAACACTCAACGACCTGCAAGAACAACTCAAAAACCAACACAAAGAAACCACAAAAAGCCTCCAGGACCTAGAACAAAAGTTCACTAAAGAAATCGACACAATGAAGAAAAGTTTAACCGAACTCCTAGAAATGAAGAATCTATTTGGGGAACTACAAAATACAGTGGAAAGTCTCAAGAACAGGGTAGATCAAACAGAAGAAAGAATCTCAGAGATTGAAGATAACACCCTCCAATTAAATAAAACCGTCACACAGATAGAGCAGAGAAACAAGAGAAAAGAGCAAAGCCTACAAGAGCTGTGGGATTATGAGAAGAAACCTAATGTGAGGGTCATAGGGTTACCAGAAGGGGAAGTAGACAACACTCAAGGGTTGGACAAGCTATTTGAAGATATAATAGAGGAAAATTTCCCAGGCCTTGCTCAAAATCTCGATATACAAGTTCAAGAAGCTCAGAGGACCACTGGGAGATTCAATGCAAACAGGAAGATGTCACAACATGCAGTCATCAGACTGACCAAATATCAACTAAAGAGGCCCTTCTAAGAGCTGTAAGACGAAAGAAGCAAGTAACATACAAGAGAAAGCCAATTCAAATAACACCAGACTTCTCTAATGAGACTCTACCAGCAAGGAGAAACTGGGGCCCCATTCTCACTCTTCTGAAACAAACCAATGTCCAGCCGAGAATTCTTATTCCCTGCAAAACTAAGCTTCATATATGAAGGAGAAATAAAGACGTTCTCAGACAAGCAAAGTCTCAGAGAATTCACCATAAAAGACCACCCCTACAAGAACTACTCAAAACAGTGTTACGCACAGAACACCATAATAAAAACTCATGAATATAAAAACAACCAAAACCCAAAGATTAAAGCCCAGATAATACAATGGCTCAAGAGAGAAATCAAAGCAACAACATCCAACCCAACAGAATGAACAATAATCTACCTTAACTATTAGTTCT